TATTGCATGTACTATCATAGAGCAGGCAATTGCGCAAATAACAGTCACGAAAATGAAAAATTGCCGAATATATGTGTAGTAGGCGGTTGTTCTAATGTCACAGATATTTTATTTTATACCTTTTACTGGAGACGAGATGCACGAAGCGAAAAGGAGACGGGTTGACTTCGTGCACGTTAAACCAGCAATATGAGATCCAAGGTGCAATTTTTATTCCAAATTCGTTATTGTAAAAAGAAGCTGCAAATTGTAAAAGAAGCTGCTTCAATGCAGTCAGTCGATATGGCCATAGTCACGAAACTCGAAAGCGCGATAAATATAAATGAGCCACAGTCAATGGATTTACCAGAAATATAAAATATCGCGACAATATATGAGTGAATATGGTCAAAATATTAAATATAGTGGATGAAAGCCAATTTCTTACGTCTACAAGCAATGTGCAGTGTTTGTATTTTAGATTAGACAGGTAAAGTAGAATTGTATAAGTGAAAATCGTTGTATTTGACCGCAGGGAAAACCCGTACAATATGCAGATTTTGTAACAAATTGTGGCATGAAACCTGATACACTGTGGGGATGTGTATAAAATGTATCACAAAGTATAATCCATTGAAGCAACTTAATGAAATAACTTAGTCATTGCCACATTTGCTAGGAACATACCTGGAACGAAATACAAGTCAGAAAAATACTTGAACGCGCTGCAACACTTTCCACAAATTAACCCGCGCGCACGAAGTGCAGGAAAACATCAGATACAAATCTTAATCTTAAATTTCAGCCTCTTTGGCAAAACAATATTGAAGTCATGAATATATCAAATGTGCTGTTTCTATACGCAATACAGTATAATATTACTACGCTTATACAGTGTAATAGGTTTATTTATTGAAAAATAATTCTATAAGATCATGAGCTGTCCTCTACAAATCCTACAAAGTCTTCATCAATAGCATGCAGCCTGCAGGCATTATTTTCTCATATGCGCAAAAATGTCTATTTCCTAGTTGTCCATAAACCATCTACACAAAGTTTCTATATGCTGTGCTCCTTCAGAATCTATAAATTAATAAATAAGTCTTTTTAATAAGTCGCTTACTTGCATGTGGACACATGTAAATATATAATAATTCAATAATTGTACGAATATTCAATTGTACAGCATGTACCGTATATAAACTCTCAGTTACCGTACCGCATGCCGGCATGCGTGTGTTCACTGATAGTAAACTCGGGTACGGTAAAGTGTTTCATAATTTCAATATGTTGATAAATAAAACTTTATTTTCCCATCTTCTGTGTTTGTTTGACGGTATTCCTGCTTCTTTCTTGTTCGTAATTTCGTGGCTGCCGAACGGAGGGCTCACTTATCTAGTGATAAGCTGTTGAATTATACATGATGGCGCGACTTCATCTTGCATCACAAATCACAATGTCACTGTGTAGAGAATCGACGCACTCCTCAATTTTCATACAACATTGACACTCTTTAGCATAATTTACGAAGCAGTTCAATGCGACAATTGCCACGTTTACACATGAAATATTATAGTTTGTAATTTGAATACTGTCGGTGTATGTAGAAACACTGGCAAGTCACGAAACGCAAGGTCAAGTCACGCAACAAAATATTTACCATTTACTCAATTCTTCTGAACTATCAAGCCTTTGTTGTAGTTGCTTAAGACGTTCGTCGTGATTGCTTTTTTTCACGGTAACTTTTGAGCCAATCTTCGTCGGGCACTGGTTCATTAACATATGGACCAACGTCGTGCACATGAATGATCGGCGGCGCTGCTTGACTACGCTTCACTGGTGTTTTCATCAATTTCACTCAATTTGAAACGGCTCAGGAATATAATTTCAGTCAGTCATCGCTTTGGTAACTGCTATTTTCCGTATCTGAACTCGACCAGGACATTTGTATCGAATTTTGACCAGCTTGATTGTGATTCTTACTTAGTATTTATATACTTTTGGCTTAGGCGAGTAGGCAATGTCTTCCTACTATGACGTATTAGTTACCAATTTCCCAGCTTCGCGGTTTTCAAAAACTTTTGCCGTTAAAATTTGAAATTTTCAAATTTCATTGCCTTATTACTCTGTGAAAACAAGCTCAATTTTAAATCTGTTTTGTATTTTCCTAATCTACGTTTCAAGACGATTCTATTAATGTAAACTCTCATTTTGTGACAGGGGCACTTTAAGAAAACATGGGAACAAATTCTTCAAAAGAAGTTACTTTACAGTTTTAAGAGTTCTTTCGTTTGAGACAATACAAATTTTAATGAAATTGCCACTTTAATGTTTCTGTTCTTGAAAAACTAAATTTGTTCGAGAATTTAAATAAAATTATGAAGGGGGAAACACCCAAACCGCCCATGCTGAAAAAAAGAAGTTCAGCACTATAAATGCACATATTGGCATTGTACAAGGTCTTAAAATGCAACAGCTTTACGCGTGAAAAGTGTCGATTATTGATGCTTGGGTAGAAAGTCAAGCTCTCATTAGCGTGAATAAACTCAATTTAGGAGTCATCTATCAAAATTGCAATTCTGGTTTTATCAGATGTAAAACATTCGGTGTCCTTGCTTCGATATTTCAAACTTATAAAAACCTCTCGCAAGGAGTTTTGTAAAATACTCTACTCACCAACATAGCATCTTGACACGAAGGAGGATTTAAATCAAATTCGAGATCAAGAACAGTTTTTCCTTTGCATTTGAAATCAGTATGATGGCATTCACTCCTGTCTTGTTCCTGTAGTCCCCAGATGATATGAACAATAATGACACGATCTTCTTGGCTTTCACGGAATTTATTAGATTCAATATCACGAACTTGGTTCCAATTTGAATTTGAACGCCAAAGCTTTATCTATATAGTCAGTACAAACAATTAAGTAATTAAATAAATATAATATTCATTATATATAATTATTAATGTGAATTTACTTTATTATATTAATATCATAACCATTGCTTTTTCAGTCTCAACATTCAGAAAAACCTCCTATATATTCTGACTATATCGGCATATATATCTTTTGCACATGTTATTGTCCATATATGGCATTATTTAATCTCCATTACATCATTGTTTACTACAATAACTTAATTTTAATAAAAGGCATTTCACTTGTACCGCATAGCTAAATGTAAACAAAACTATAGACAATCAAAGGAATGGACTGGAAACGCAGGCTAAAGCGCTAATTTGCTGATGCGACATATGTGATACGGCCTAATTTAGGCCTACCTTTATTTGGAACCCTGTGACTGTATTAAAAGTATTTTTCAGGACTTCCTCCCTCCCCCCCCCCCACCCCCTCGATGTTTCTATTCTTGTTTAAAATATATAAATAAGACCTGAAATTTATTTAATTAAAGTGAAGTTTCAGGGTTCCAAACAAAACGTATTGGGCCAATTCGTGGGAGGTTGGCAATCAATGCTGTGTCTTTAAAGCTAGATTACAGTCGCTTCTGCGCATGTGTCAAAAATGTAAACAAATGTGAGCACACTAACACCGCGGAAAAACGTCTGCGCATGCGTCAACCTTACCTGTAATAGTATTGCGAACTTGATGAGAAGCTGTTCCGAACGTTTTCGAAGGCTCAAAATGGCGGTAAAAAGGAGTGACTTCATTGTGCGTCTTTACAGCCAGATTTCGAGCGCAAAAATAAACATGTCATTCTAAAAACTAGGAATAAATACAGCCAGAAGATTCAAGAAATTGTATTGTACAAGAACATGAACTAAAGGTGATTGTTGACAAATTTATCGTGTAAAACATTTTGTTTATCAACTAAGCAACGACAATTTCCGAATTTTCGTTTGAGATACATTTCTTTAAAAAAAACTGTGTCGCCAAATATAAAAAATTTTCGTGTTCACAATAATTAAACTTTAGGATTTATTCTACAATTTGAGTGGGTTAAGAAGCTTAACTTTTCGAGAGTTTTCTTAACTTTTGAGTTTGAATTTTTGTTTTGAATAATTTTGTAAATATTTTCGAAGTCGTGTCCGTTAAAATCAACAATTTTTTACATGAATTATATTTCATTCCATACTTTAAATGCCAGGACGCTTTCAATTAATGTCTAGTCTACCCATTTGCTATATTTTCTCGTTTATTTTACTATTTTTTGACCAACTTAATAAGCATGTTTTTGTTTTAGAAATTGATATTCAAATTCCCCGCCATATGCATATTTTCATAATTTGGTGCATGCGCAGACGTTTTTCCGCGGTGTTGAGCACACTTGTTTTGATTTTGTGTGCTCTCCAGTCCTTATTCGGATATGCGCGCTCAAAATGGCCGACTCGTAAGAGTTATATAATAGAGCCGTCCACTTCAAAGGCAAATTCTTCTAATGCTGGTCGCCAAAACCAACCAGGAAATCGAAAAGAACATTTCGCGAAAAGGTATGCAACGAAAATGTACTTTAATGATACTATTGGTCGGTGAAATCATTTCAAAACTGAAGCTGGAATTAAAAGTGACGAGGGTTCGCGAATACTATGCTGATCGAGCCTGTATACGAAACATCAAGACGGTTTAATTGTGGTAAGCACATAACACATATCCCTGGATATTTCAGTTATGTTAATGTTGTTATATTTCCTCATTACAAAATTTTATTGTTCACTTATAGCGCTGTGGAAACCCAGACGGATCAGTAGCCAGATGAAACAATACAATGCAGACATGAGCCATTGCCAGTATATGTTCAGCAAGGGGAAGAAACAGCAATGGAGCCATATAAAGATTCTTAAAGATTCTCCTAGGCAGTACGAATACATCCTACAACTTATAATGAAGGTATGTATAACATTTTATGCTTTCCTGAATCCTAGTGAGAAAAAAAGTGACTTTTAGTTTTCACTTTTCATTATGAAATTCCATATTCTTCATATCACATTTTCAAACAAATATTTTGATCGTTCTGTAGGCATGTTGATTGACGTGTTTTAAGAGCACTTAAGGCTTTTTGGAAAGCCAAATTTTGATTTGCATGAACATTATTAACAAAATCAAAATGTGGCTTGAAAAAAGCCATTTGAGTGTTTTAAAACACATTGGTCAGCAGCATTTAAACAGAAATAAAACTAATTATAAGTCTTCTTTAGATATGTGGAATGGTGTTGCAAGTGATTACCGAAGGCAAATCGCTCCTAACATAACCCCTGTCCCTCCTCCTTCAGTCAAAGAACTTGTTGAAACCCATCAGTATAAATTCAACTGATCACTGTAGACAAGTGTCTGCCAGTTAAAACAAAGTGCTCTGTTAGGTGGAGCTCATAATCCCTGAAAGGCAATCCACCTAGGAGAAGGAAATCTGATTACAAACCCCTGGACCCCAATACTGAGCCAGGGTGTACATCTTCGGTGCACAGCAATACACTTTTCAGGACTAAAGTAAGGAGCATTAGGAGTAATTTTAAAGAATAAAAAAATCAATGTCAATATACAAAATGTTGTGCTTGAACATCCAATGTATTTGATAACTGGTCTTTTATATAATGAAATATTACTGTTCATAAACATTTAAACATTAACATGATAAAGGCTTTCATTTGTTAGCAAAATTTGCTGTGGTTAGTAGACAGAGAAAGCTTATAATAAGTTTGAAGCAATTTTGAACTGCAATTTTCTTCTTTTGGTGTATGTGTTAGAGTAAATAATAAAGCCATGCAAAGTAATGTTTCCTGTAATTTTGCTAAAACACAAATGCCAAAAGGAGAAAATCAAAGTTTAAAATCGCTTGTGTGACCGGGCCTTAACAGGTGTGAATTACCCAAGTTCTTTCAAAATATTTAAAATGATCCTCCCTGTCATGGGGAGATAATTGCAGTAAAATGGATTAATGAATAATAAAGTTTCCCTCAATGATCCCTCTAATGCATGGCCATGTCCAGATCGAACATTTCCATCATGCAAGTACTAACTGTGCCACTGTGGGAAGAGAGGGCTAGGCGGTTATGCAAGGCTGTCTTGATTGTGTACAGCATTTGTTTACCCATTTTGTTGGCATTGCAACAGAGCATCCACATTTGTAATACTCTGAGGCATTTTCTGGTTTTTCGTAGCTGGGTCTGGTTGAAGCGGTTTACCTGGCAATTTACCAAATTGACAAATGCTGGCTGATGCTGTATAAGCTCTAACGCAAATGCTCTTCAAAGGGCATTTAAATCCATTGCTTCCACAAGATTCTGAAATGAATATATTTATCATTAATTAAATGCAAAGACTCAAGCACAGTGAAACACAGATATTTCTTACCACCAAATTACTGCATTTTCACAGCTATGTACACTTGTATATAGACAGGTAAGCCTTTTTACATAATTTGATATTTTACCCGGCAAGGATATGCATAATTATGTGGGGTATTTAATAAAATAAATCATGTGTGTTAAAGCCAGTGGTTAAAGCTTTCAGAAATATAAGTCTGTGTATATTTTTGGCAGGCAAAGTATCAAAATATGTAAACAAAGTTTACCCATCTATTGTTAGATAATCATTATCCTTTGAGTGAACTATCGCGGTGAACAACATTACATATTCTCAAATGAACCATTGCTCAGGCCACATTTTTTTGCGTATAAACTAACAAAACATATATAAAGTTATAAACTAATGAACAAATACAATAAGATTACATGTGAAGCACGTTTCTAACGAACAGTACATAACTAATAGCAATAATACAAACTCACCATCTGTCCTTCGATTGTTCATACATGTATCAAAATCCTCTTCGCCGCACGCGCTTGAGCAAAAAATACCCATACTCTATCGAAGACAGAAGCTGGAGGCCCCGCTGGAGCAAGCCGCGACATGAACATATCGTTTCCAATTCTTCCAGCGAAAAGCTTTCTCCTAGTGCTTCTGCCATGACAGCAACAATGACTTTGGCAATGTGTTTTGACGAACAAATACCCCAAGGAAAAATTAGTGATTACTTTGACACTTCCAAAGTTTATTTTACAATGCCGAACATTAATATAATCAACACAATGACTCGCACCTTTGGGTCGGCTTTGTCGGTCTCTTCTGAATGTTTCATCAACGAGGCACACAAAAAACAAATGCCGAATTGATCAACAATATATCTTCCATTCATGATCTTTCAAAATATTTAATTGCTTGTCTTTCAGAAGACAATTTTAAAAAAATTAACAACTCCACTCCTGACTCGGACTCCATTTATATAGTGCATAGCCGCTATACTTCATATTATACAATTGAAGTGGATCCAAACCAAAACAAAAAATGTAAACAAAGCCCGCACATGCGCAGAATGGACTGTAATCTAGCTTTAATGCGCATTAAAATTGCTGCGACGAGAACGCGGAAACGCATGTCTTCAAAATGTTAAAAGAAAGGATTGAAGACAAACCTCATATCCAAATGTTACTGCCATTATGGTGATTAGGAAGCCAAAAAATACTTCAAGTTTCCTCAGACCTAAATAAATATTAAATTTGACGATTTGGTGAAAAAAGATCAAACAAAACATGAAAAAACCCGCAAGTTATGATTGTGCTGTTAAACTCTGAAAATTAAACAATCAGGACGACGTACTTCAAATTAAGATGCCTCTCACAATTTCTACTGCGGGGTTTACAGTATAGAACAGTATAGTACGGTAAAGACTTCAGCATAATATACATAGCTTGGTATACGAGCATAGCAGGAAACATATTTTTTTCTGGGTCAACGTTTTTTGCCATATTATTTAATATTCTAACAATCTTCCCAATTAATTACTTGCTATCCCTGTTAGCATTATGCAATGCCCTAAAATTTCTGTCAGCTAAGCCAAGTCTGAAAATGTTCTGGGATCCTAGATGCCAGGATCCACCATTATTTCCTGCCATGGATACGAGTAATACAGAAAACGTATATAGTACAATATATGAGAGTAAAGTACATTACACAATAATATTCTTACCATATTTATCCAAAAAGAGAAAAACAAAAGTGTCCATGATTGTGATAAGTACGCCAGCAAACAGAGGAATACTAGAAATGAAATGCACCAAATGAATGCACATGTTTGTAAGTACACAACATCTTCTTTCGTTTAAGGAAACAAACAAACAAACGAACTACTTACTGTCTGTTTGAAAGGAGATAAAAGGCTACTGCAGTGCCAATTACTTCCTGCAATAAAACAAATTACAGCATATTATGTACAAAATTACGAATATTATAGAAACGGTCAAAATACATACAGACGAGCAAGTTTTTATTGATGATTTATTGATTTTACTTGCTCGTGTGTGTACGACAAACAAGTTTTCAATTTTCTCTTGACAAGTTTTACGATCCCGCGTTATTTCACTGCGTATAAATAATTTCATGATAATAACGTATCTGATACGGCATGTTGTAAAAGACGGACTGGACTGGACTGGACTGGACAGGGAAAACGCGGATTGAGTCCGTGTTTTACAAATTGCGGACTGAATTTGTAAAACACGGACTGGACTGGACTGGACCGGGAAAACGCGGACTGAGTCCGTGTTTTACAAATCGCGTGCTGCGATTTGTAAAAGGCGGACTCATTGAATGCCGTCGCTTGTAACTAAGGATGAACGGTCGCAGATAAAACATTGTCTATTCTCATGACAAAGTTCAATGTTTTACCGAGAAAGTTCAATATGTTTGTGATGATCATGATCATTTGGTGGTTTCAAAGCGGATCTGGTTATTGTTCAACAGATTAAGATCAAATCAAAACCTGTCAAGTGCTCTTGAGAAACATCGAAGATTCTCACGCGAATAGGCAATGTTTTTATGAACGACCGTTCATCCTGCAAGCGACAGTACACTGACTCAGTCCAGTACTGACTCAGTCGTGAGAGTTTGGCGGGAATTGCACTCAGTCGTGAGAGTTTTGGCGGGAATTGGTCAATAATAGATCGGTCAAGGAATAATCATATCCTGGAGCTAAGGTTGGTATAAATTACTATTATTTGTTTGTTTTGAATAAACAGATGAACAGCGTCAATCTTAAAAGGAACACGCTCAGTCATGTGGGACTTTGTGCCACTATTGTCTATTGTCGAGTATCCTGTATAGATATAGCTCTTATAGCAGATACAATTTAGTGTTCAATTAAGACGAAAATAGAGTTAATTTGTTTATTTTGAGTTCGTGGCGAAGAGGGCGTATTAAAATGTTTCTATAAATTTGCGAGAAATATGAAATAAATACTGTAATCGAATATACTTTTAATAATTTAAATTGTGTTATAAATGGTGAAACTCTCGCAGGCCATCAAAACATCAAAGGTAGTGTTGTACATATAAATTACAAGATTCTAAGAATCGTTATTCGATTATAGTATTCATTTCATATTTCTCGCAAATTTATAGTAACCATTTTAATACGCCCTTTTCGCCACGAACCGCACAAAATAAACAAATTAACTCTATTTTCGTCTAATTATGATTAACTGCACTAAACGATTTGCTGTAAGAGCTATATCTAAACATGATTCTCGACAAAGTGGCACAAAGTTCCACATGACTGAGCGTGTTCCTAAGATTGAACGCTATTCATCTGTTTATTCAAAACAATAAATAAATAATAGTAATTTACACCAACCTTAGGGACCGCTCATTATTTATACCTGGTTTGGTACCGAAGAGAAGCGAAACACAGTGTAATTTTTTAACTTACCCAACCTCAACATTGGTCAAAATAATGTTTACCCAACCCATGTGTTTTAATACTGTACTTCATAATAATTAAACACACAAGATTATGGTGACAGAAATCAAGTTGCCTAAATTCTAAAAACTCACTGAGTGTGCCAAAGCAATCACGTTCCTGCTGATCAATAATAGAGTCCTTCCTCAATCACTGATCGTCTATTTTGGTGCAGAATGTATTGTACACATTTTTCTTCATATTTTCCAATGACAATGCATGTAGTTTTGGTTTTATTTTATAGCTGACAGACAGCCAAAAAATTTTTACCCAACCCATGAGCTACTCAAAAACTTGATTACCCAACCCATATCTCTTCGGTACCAATCCCGGGTATAAATAATGAACGGTCCCTTAGCTCCAGGATATGATTATTCCTTGACCGATCTATTATCCGCAATTCCCGCCAAAACTCTCACGACTGAGTCAGTACTGGACTGAGTCAGTGTACCGTCGCTTGCAGGATGAACGGTCGTTCATAAAAACATTGCCTATTCGCGTGAGAATCTTCGATGTTTGTCAAGAGCACTTGACAGGTTTTGATTTGATTTTAATCTGTTGAACAATAACCAGATCCGCTTTGAAACCACCAAATGATCATGATCATCACAAACATATTGAACTTTCTCGGTAAAACATTGAACTTTGTCATGAGAATAGACAATGTTTTATCTGCGACCGTTCATCCTTAGTTACAAGCGACGGCATTCAATGAGTCCGCCTTTTACAAATAGCAGCCCGAAAACACGGACTCAGTCCGCGTTTTCCCGGTCCAGTCCAGTCCAGTCCGTGTTTTACAAATTCAGTCCGCGATTTGTAAAACACGTTCTCAGTCCGCGTTTTACAAATCTCAGTTCGCGATTTGTAAAACACGGACTCAGTCCGCGTTTTCCCGGTCCAGTCCAGTCCGTGTTTTACAAATTCAGTCCGCGATTTGTAAAACACGGACTCAGTCCGCGTTTTCCCGGTCCAGTCCAGTCCAGTCCGGTCCGTCCGTCTTTTACAACATGCCGTCTGATACAACATATGACATAACATATTTCATGATATAACGTGTCTAATTTTAAGTGTTAAGATGAAACCGTTAAATTCGATGTTGTGACAAGCGAATCCGGTATCTGCACACAATCAGTGGATACAGTACGAATGCAGCTTGTGAGATGCAAGGGTCTAAATACAATAGTCAGGTTTTCAAGTGCTTATTCAAAACGCAACAATTTTTACTCAGAAAATCGAGGAAAAAGTAAATCAGCAGAATTATGTACATACAACAAATCACTAAACATTGCTGTTACTGAGTTTTACATTCAAGGCATTTACATAATTACATGTACGTTAAATCATGTTCTTTGCGAAAAGTATGAAGCATTTTATAAACAGCAATCAATATACCTGCATATCGCTGCCAATGATGGCAATTTCCACCATAATCCACAAAATAATTCTTGGTATTGGCGGGTATTTTTCGTAACATAATTCTGCTAGATGTTTACCTGGGCAAACATAATATGAAGTTATTCAATTCCTATACGTCATGGGATGGATAAAATAAATTTATAAAATAACTACATTTATAAAACAATTACCGAATGGTTTTCCGTGCAGGATTGCGTGATCCATGCACTTGGGATGTTGCTCGACTTTCGGAAAGCGTAAAAATACACTCGCCTGCGGCTCGAGTATTTTTACGCTTTCCGAAAGTCTCGCGACATCCCTCGTGCATGCATGGATCACGCAATCCCGCACGGAAAACCATTCGGTATATTCCTTTATTCTATAATATTTCTATATACAGTATTCTATATAAAAAATTCGTTTGTGAGTTTTCTACAGTATAACGTGAATTTTGGCTTGCATTAATACTAGTCGCAACTGTCATGAGAATCGAATGGTGACCAAATGTGAAAATAAATATTTCATGCCAGGGGAACAGTGTTTATAATGGCCGTATATATCAACACTCCAATACATCGGTCACGTTGACCGTATTTAGTATTAGCCTGGTTTAAAGTGCGCTATTTTTGTATAGAGTTAAATACTGTAGACAAAAATAGTAAAAACTCTGTACAAATATCGAAGTTGCAGAAAAGAAAGTAACTGAAATCATTCTAATATTACAGTAAATACTTCGACAGACTTTGTTCTGCATTTATGCAAGTTGAAAACAACCTCCTTTATTCTCAGATATTGCGACTTACAACACCAAGTATACCGATACTACAATTTACAGTTTACTGTTGAGGCCATTATGTCCGTGATTTCTGACAATGATTATATGACTGTAAGTATATATACTGTATATGACGACCTTTCACGCCATATGTACAGAAAAGGCAGCGTTGAGAAAGTGCGTAATGTACAGTATACTTCAGGAACAAAAATGATCGAAAGTAAATCCATCGCAGAAAAATGCCATGCATGCACTATACAGAGGAGATCCAGCAATCTCTTCCCAACATTTTGTTGTCAAATGTTACACATTATATCATTTATACCAGTTGTTGTTCCAACGCGAGCTGATAGCCTCTACAAATGTAAATAATATTGTTAAATTGATGAACGTTTCAAGCTGCGCCCTAGCATTGAAGCTATATAGCTATATAACATGTTTAACATGTATCAATCCTAGATAAAAAATAGTGAATCAGTGACACTTCGAAAATACAAACAACCTCTTCTCTGCAATTTACTTCGATACTGGCCTATTAAGACCTTCATGGATGTAAAATCATTGTTGCAGCTTTGTTGCAGCTTTGTTGTAACTTTGTTGCACCGTTAATCAGCTATCATTAAAAGGCTTTCATACATTATCGGGAAAGCGGGGTCGGGGGCATCCGGTTATAGCACAATTCGTACTTTAGCAGAAATAAAATAATACTGATACAGTATTCTTTAAATGACAACAACTGTCTCACCTGCATCAAAAATCCAATAAACGTTGCCAACATAAGCACCCATAGAAGCTATAATAAATAAGTACAAACTAAGCTTCGAGAATGAACTGTACATGAACAAGAAATATATCTAGCATCCGCTCACACAACATCAAACTCTCATTACTACCTGCTCGCTAGAAGGTAGCGATCTACAGGTTTGATTGTTGTTTAAATACATTTATGTTATTTACCGTCTGCGAGGTCCGTACTGAAAAAATATTTTCCCGAGGTCTCAGAAGCGGACCGAGGCCGAAGGCCGAGGGACGCTTCTGAGGCCGAGGGAAAATATTCTTTTAGTTCGGACCGACCTGAACGGTGAATAACGTGTTTATTTTTTTATTTGACAGTTCATGGTGATATAATGAAATTCCGATGAAATTCCAGTTGCGAAGTACATTTGAGATCAGTTGCGTTTGTTACTTAATAGTGCAAGCATAGCTGACAAACTGCTAAAACGACGCGATTAAAGCTGGATAAAAAGATTGCAATAGATGCTTTTAAGAAACTCAACAAGAAAACAGAAGGTAAACTAAGTAAAAATATTTATTTTCCGATTCGTTTTACAGCATGGACAATCTTGAAAAATGCTTTTTGACAGAAAAATACAAATTTTATTGCCGAAAAACGTTAACAATTCGTTCATTACAACATTTATAAAAACAATATTGACTGAAATAAGCCCAGGAATCGTCTTTAAACTGCCATTTAAGTTTTTTTTTAATTTTATGTTTAAGGACAAGTTGTATGTTGTATGTTGTACTATTTATATTTATACGTATATTCTCGAATAGCTGAATATGTGGAGCATTTGAATCAAAACATGTAGTTTTTTCGCAGTTTGGTCGGAGAAAAGTACATTTCGGGCTTGGCACTAAGTCCACTGAAGCCAATTCACTGTATTTTACTGTCTTTAGTATCGATAAGGTGGATTTTAAATTTTTTTGGGTAGTGTTTTGAGTTTGAAAATTGTCTTCACTCATCGGTTTTTCGCCAAAAAAGAACTCTTTTGGACCACGGTCAAGATATTGTAAAAAGCTGCCCGCTGCTGCAGCCAATCAGATTGCAGGAAATCAAAAAATATCACTAGGCATTCACAAATATAAAAATAAATTAAAATTATTAAAGTGCCACTGCCACTAAAATATGATTTCTAGGAAATTTCCTATACTTTATAGTAAAAATTCTCATCTTGATCAAACTTTTCACTGTCAACGTTTTTCGACAGGATATCATTGGATAAATATTTGGAGAAAAAATGAAGTGAAACTAATTAGCAATTCATTTCTAATGATAGTGGCATTTTAACTGTTTGTTATGGCGCTCATCCTCGTCCCCAGGGCCTCTCAGCCGCGCGCGTCCTCCCTATGCCCTGGGACACAAGAAACCGGAAGTGCAAGAAAACTTGCAGTAGTTTCTGAAACGAATGCTCATGAATCGGGACGCTTTAGCACGTAACAATTTTCACAGTGAAGTATTACGAAGAAACGAAGTATTTGTGTTGACATATGTTGATAGAATAAGTTTGCCTAGCACAAACTGCTCAATCTCTATCAGACCTGTCCCTTTAGTCGTCTAACCCAGAGCCTAACTTTCAACGAGTGACCGAGTGCAAATGGCTCTGGGGACGGGAATGTATGGTGCTTTGTTCGTAGCTTGGTAAAATCCCCGACTTCGTGTGCGAGTGAGGAATTGGTAGTCCTGGGGCAATTGTAGGAAGGTCCGATAGCGCTATCCATGTACCTAGTGATTTTCTAACCTTTGAAGAATACGAATGTCGAAGCAGTTGATTTCACAATAAATATTGCACACTAAGAAACGTATATTATCTGTGTCACACCAATCGACAACCAATTTTAGAAATGTTGAGCATTTATTTTATAAAGCTGCACCTGCTGACGTTGTCCATATGTAAATAAAAAAGACAAACATAAGAAAAAGTAAAAGAAAGCAGGAATACCACAACAGTGAATACCTATAAGGCAGTAAGATTATGGAATGATCTACCTTCAAGTTGTAAACAATGTCTTTCCATTGCGTCTTTTAAAACAAACTTGCTTGAATACTATATACTTTGCAAAATCGCTAACTTATTCCCCACCATAAACTTATTCTCCACATCTACATTTCTGAATATTTTATATAAAAGGTGCCGTAATAAATTGGGATTTATCCTGTTACGGCATCCTGTCACTATGTTTGTTATGTTACATGTATGTGTTGGTAATAATTGTAATATTGTGACAAACTTATTAAATTAAATTAACTAAAATAATCACTATATCCGGCGGACAGCGCTATCCGGTCTTTAACACCTGGTTTTACACGCAAAATCGAGAAAAATATCTTTAATTACATCAACATAAGTTCAATATCCCCATGAGTACCTTAAATTCTGCAGTAGTTCCAGACTGAAGATCAGATTCAATGTTTCCAGGATCAAGATATGCAATGCTCATTAGGAAACCAGGACCAGTAAATGCCCAAAGACGTTTGAAACTGAAACTATACTACATGGAGGAAATAAACTGAGAATAACATAAGTGACTTCGTGATCGGAAAAAATATTTAAAATCTAATGCACTTGAATATATGAACGTCATTATTAAGAGTATAAAGCTTTGAGCAAACTAGGAAACTTTAATGTTAAGTCGAAATATTTCCATAAATATTTCCTTGTTTATATCCATCTTTACAAATATTGGCGGTTCTGGTTTGCCCAACTTTTGGAAACATGGCTAAGAGACAATGTTTCTGCAATATAGTTCCTGGTTGGTCCGCGAGAATACTTCTTAGTTTGCCACGGGTTTTACACGTCATAGTTGGGGCAAAACAGCGGACATCTATAGGTAAATATTGAATAATTTCAACTTACATCCCGGTCACTCTCGCGAGGTATTGGTATTCTTGATTCAAAATATGTCGTCTTGTGGTCATGACTCCCGCTGCATTCTCCATCAATACCTGCAGGTTGATGGTGCTCATTACGTATGGCTCCATAACCTTTACAGTAAAGTATACACATGTATATTGCTAAACATACTGTTATAGTATTGTGATACACGTTGCAATAAAATAATCTCTCATGTTAATAGGCCATTCCAAGATTGACAAGAACAAAGGCAACGAATTTTAAAATAACGAAATCAAGAAAGAAACTCAACTACTGTAAAGAGGATCTCCAAATTAGTACAAAGTTTAACCACATTAGAATAAACACGGTATGAATAGCAAGCTTTCAGGAATTGCGAATGTTATACTATGAAATGTGTGGAGTTTGGCATAGACAATGTATTTGTTGTTGAGCAGCGAGACAATGCATGCCGTTTCACCTGAGTTCACTCGTGCCCAGTCTTTTCCATGATCTATATATTCTTGTGAATCTCGCGTCGGTGGGCGAAGTCTTGCGCTAATTCAGGTGTTCACGCCAATTGGCAAATTCCAATTATCATAATCAAACGTAATAATCGAATACACGGAGATTGTACACTATCGCTCTGGATTGTATTGTATTCCTTGAATTTCCTTCAAAACAATGCACGCAAAGTGTACTGTTTTTCTATTTTTTAAAGTTTCGTCAAGGCCATGAGCGTTCTCACTACAGAAGAGAGCAGTTCCTCCATGGCCTTATCGGAATTTCCAACAACACCAAACATCCCAATGTGTATCCCTCAAGTTTGAGACAGCACCATCCTTGCGATAGTAACTCTTAGTCATTTTCTCAACTGTTGAAAGCTTGATTATTCATATCGTGTTTATCAAAATTAGAGTGGATCGATATCGCAAAATACCGAATACCGATATACCGCCATCAGAATACCGATATACCGGTATTTTCAACGTGTTTTTTAAGCCAAACTGAACTGCTGAACGTCCAGAAAAATCAAGTTTTGACAAAATATTAATGTGACACATACTGTTATTAGTGCAAGTGTCACAAGATTCGCATTAACATGCTATATTAACGGCGCTAAGCGGCAATTATTACTGCCCAATAAATATTTCAAAACAAAAACTTGAAAAGGTTTTTTCTGCTTCGCAAATGCTAGTACTTCCACTTTCCAAATCGTAGGTTCCTTTTTACCAAAATTTTCCTTCAAGAATTTCGCCATTTATATATTTCCGATTAATTTAAGGCGATTTAATAAACAAGACGTCTTTGTACTGCTAAACCAAAGCTGTGCTAGAACTGTAAGAACAAAATCGTCCATCTGTGAGTGATAACTTTGGATTTTAAACGTGATTGTAAGCAAGTTTAACTTGAAACAGCGATTCAAATCGATCCACTCTAATCAAAATGTATTCAAACTTTGTAAACCTACTAATATTCAACTGCTCTTTCCAGTTGTTCATTTCAACACTTAATTTTGTTACTTCTTTAATGCTTCGTCCAATCAACTTTGGAATGACTCTAAATAATGAGAAAAACAGCACAGAACTGCGGACGAACATGGCTTCAATTACCTAAAAATTACAAGTAAAACTTCGACACTTCGAGCGAAGGTCCTTCGTCGGGAAGTTAGTATCTTCCCACGTTCTGCCATTTCTCAAATATATTTCCACACCTTTCGTTACGACAAATATAAAGGTAAAAATGCGAAATCAGATCATTTTGAGTCATATATACTGTACTGACTCTTCAAAGTGAGCAACTCTGTCTTTGCTTCTTACAGTACTCAGATGAACAGTTTTAGAACGACAGATTCACCAATGAAGTGGAATTTATTGACATTTCAGCTGATTACAAAGTGAACAAGTACTCTATTGCATAAAGGAGGGATGAAAAATTTTCCCCATGAACATTTCATTCTGTCTAGCACAATGTCATTCTGTCTAGCACGATGTCATTCTGTCTAGCACGATGTCATTCTGTCTAGCAAGATGTCATTCTGTCTAGCACGATGTCATTCTGTCTAGCACGATGTCGTTCTGTCTAGCACGATGTCATTCTGTCTAGCTCGATGTCATTCTATCTAGCAAGATGTCATTCTGTCTAGCACGATGTCATTCTGTCTAGCACGATGTCATTCTGTCTAGCACGATGTCATTCTGTCTAGCACGATGTCATTCTGTCTAGCACGATATCATTCTGTCTAGCACGATGTCATTATGTCTACCACGATGTCATTCTGTCTAGCACGATGTCATTCTGTCTAGCAAGATGTCACTTTATCTACCACGATGTCAATACTGTCTAGCACGATGTCATTCTGTCTAGCACGATGTCATTCTGTCTAACACGATGTCATTCTGTCTACCACGATGTCATTCTGTCTAGCACGATGTCATTCTGTCTAGCAAGATGTCATTCTGTCTAGCACGATGTCATTCTGTCTAGCACGATGTCATTCTGTCTAGCAAGATGTCATTCTGTCTAGCTCGATGTCATTCTGTCTAGCTCGATGTCATTCTATCTAGCAAGATGTCATTCTGTCTACCACGATGTCATTCTGTTTAGCACGATGTCATTCTGTCTAGCACGATGTCATTCTGTCTAGCACGATGTCATTCTGTTTAGCACGATGTCATTATGTCTACCACGATGTCATTCTGTCTGGCACGATGTCATTCTGTCTAGCACGATGTCATTCTGTCTAGCAAGATGTCACTTTATCTACCACGATGTCAATACTGTCTAGCACGATGTCATTCTGCCTAGCACGATGTCATTCTGCCTAGCACGATGTCATTCTGTCTAACACGATGTCATTCTGTCTAGCACGATGTCATTCTGTCTAGCACGATGCCATTCTGTCTAGCACGATGTCATTCTGTCTAGCACGATGTCATTCTGTCTAGCACGATGTCATTCTGTCTAGCACGATGCAGTCGAACAAGCGAATTGCTGATCTGTACCATTTAGGTCAACAGTTTTTACTTTGTTTCATGTTTGGTTGCTAGGAAGTATTAAATATGTTGCCAAAGCGGTGCCTTTTTTGCAAATAAGTGGGGAGTCACTAACCTCCTACCATCCTAAACCCCATTGAACCTACAGCATACACCTTGTCTGATTCTAAATTAAATAGAAATAATATTTACCTTCATCAACACTTGAGTTTAGTTCAGCACAGCCAAGTCGAGATGTTGTGTTGTTCACATCATCCATCTCAGCACTTTCCACCAAGTTGTTTGTCTACGAGAAATCACAATTGAATACTCTTATAATCAATCCATGAAATGGTAAACATTGACATACATGCTCATTAAACTAGAAAATAGTTTACAAAATCAAAAAATAGATGATTGTATTCTTATCTATAAACTAAACTAAACTAACTTTATACGTACTGGATCAAATCTTGGAGCCAGTGCCTACGAAACCAAACAGTTGCGGTGTCAAGGATAATATGCAACTAAACAGAACCTGGGCGTTTCGAGCAAAGGTCCGTCAAACCTCCCCACAAAGTTACTAATTTCCCAACGAAGGACCTTCGCTCGAAACGTTCATGTTTTGCTTATATGTTCAGGTAATTGCAGATCCTTGACATCTCAGCTGTTTATACTGGATCATACTAAGCTCTTTATACTATGAGTCCAAAACTGTTCTCACTTGAGATCCAGTAAGGCCCATCCTTTATTGAATCATTGTTATTCTACATGAGAAACCATAAACTAAACTAACTTCAATTATATTGAATAGCTTTATCAGTTCTACAAGTTGTAGGGGTCTAATGATGTCCAAATCCAGTAGGGATCGAAACAAGGGCACCAGGAGAAAATCTGCATGGTTTGGTACTGTTCAGACCGACATAATGTTTTTGAAATGCAACAGAAACAATAATCAGACTGCATATAACACGATTTGAGCTCCCAGAGGTGACTGGAACATTCACAAGTTGTGACAGCAAGATTCCATATTAAATAAAAATGTTTACACAGTCAAAGTTGAAAAGAAGCAGCGAGAGTTTGTATATAGGATTTTAGATAGCATGAGGCTTGAATGGCGCCTACATAGTCAGAAAAATAAAATACATATATTTAGTCATGCTTTAATGCGCAAGGGTGTTGTTGCTCTCTGCATCTTATCCCTCCTAAAATCATCCTCAATTATCCTTATGCTTCCTAAATTAATCAAGTTCCAGCTAGTGTATTTTCAAGACTTCATGTGCACCCAAAACTTTATGCAGCCACACCTAAACTATTTTTTCAATGAAAATGATGAACCCTTGGTGGTTATTGGTTAAATGGAGAGGTTTTTAAATACATTAGTGCTTTGAGCATGAAAAATCCAGAGACAACTTGACGAGCATGTCAAGCATGCATATGCAACCAACGGTCCATTCCTGGAAGAGCTACACAGGAAGATTAACAGCTTACTGTACAACAGAATTAATAAAATTAGAAGATTACAACAATAGCAGCATGACATCTACTACTTCCGAGATGACTGAAGAAAGGACAACAAAATAACAGGGTTCGCTCTAAACTACACAGTAAGGAAAGGTATTTGAATACTGTGTTACCTCTTGTGATATGGCATGGTACATTAAGTTGTCAGAATCTTTTGGCCACTAAAACAGTAAAAATTGAAGGGATAAGAGTGCGACAGAAGTACGTTACCTGGCTGAATAAAATCAGGTTTTGAAAACTCCAAATCCGTGGATTTCACCACACAAGCCCCTAATATGTACGTTAGGCAACCCTTTGGTTGGGGATCACGTGTGTGAAAACAACGTATGTTTGAAAATTACAACAGTTTTTGTTTAAAAAATTCACATAAAATATACAGTACAACGATTTGTTAGGTTTTTGAAGACAAAGTTTGGGTCATACTCTAATGGCGACCAGGAGTTGAGTTGTGATCGTAACAAGGGTCGCTGAAACCCAACATGAAGGGCGTCGAAGCAAGGATTACAGACAAAAAATAAAGAAATTGGAGTAGTAAAACAGACGATCTAATCGGGGAAAATGGAGACAGTTAAAGTAAACGATCAGAAGCTGGAATTAGAAATTGGCTAGGAGGAGCGTTTGGGGGAGAGAATGCGTACAGACTTATTACTGTACTTGACTGACCTTGACAGAGTCAACGACAAACAAAACGACTTGAACTGGCATAAGGCAACACCCGTGGTCAAGATGGGTGGAAGGAGTATGTGCATGGGTTGATGGAGTTCCACAGAATGAACAAGGGTCATGATGAAGTGCAGCTGATTAGTGAAGTAGTACTTATTGAAGCAGAGGTAAACAATCGAGAGAAGTGGATGAAAAGGAGAGAATGAGGCACGTCAAAGGGAAAGATGGTGTAATTCGGGGAGCCACATAGAATTGCAATCTATTCTAGCTACGGTGCCTGTTCCTTGGAGAGACGTTCCCACGTGAAACTGAAACAACACACGTACCGAAGGAGGAGTCTCTGAAACACAACATGAAGAAAGGCTGGGCAAGACGATGAAAAAAAAAATAAACGAGGGTGAGAGTTGAGAAGCCAGAGTTTGCATCAGAGCTTTCTCAACTCTCATGTCCTGGTCAAACGAGAACAAAAGTTGCATGAGAGGTGAGAGTTTGCATGAGAGCTTTCTCAACTCTCATGCCCCAGTCAAACGAGAACAAGAGTTGTATGAGAGTTGATTGGATATTACATGTTGCATCCACCAACGAAAGCTTGTTATTAATGGCACTACCTACACTGGCACAAGCTGTTCAAGAATACCATCAGTCTGTTTGAGTAGTAAGGCTGTTACCCTAGCTTTGCATTTAAAAATTTCGCTTCTTAAGCTATACATCTTAATTGAATAATATAGGCGGCGGTCACACAAGCGCTTGACGATTACTACCAGATTAGCGCTTGAACATCATGCCAAACTCGAGCTACAGAATATAAGCCAAGCACGTCGCGGTGACACTCGGGATAGGAAAGTATTGCATGCTTGTTCGCTGTACTTGACATGCATATGAGAACGCGTCATTGCTATTGTTTTATTTCAAATATCAATTATCAAAGAATACACGATCGGATCATGGCCTCGAACCCGCAAAAGCAGGATGGTTTCGTACGAAAAAGATTTGAATACAAAAAGGCAGCATCACTACTTGGGTTCTGCAACTCGACTTTGCAGTGTTGGCGCGATAATGTTGTGACTGGTAAATATAATATTTTGAAACTAATATTTTGCCTCTGTCAAAATGACACGTCCTAAGCAAAACAGCAAATTGGTACTTCTTTTCTCACACAAGCGCAACGTATATATGCGAAAATAAAGGTTAATATCAGTATTACTAATTTGTAGGATTACTAATTCCCCATAATGATAACACCTTGCATCACCTTAGTTATAAACATCAAGTTGCGGCTGGAGCTGGACAACTCGTCTTTGTAGCTCACTTGGTTAGAGCGCTGCAACGGAATCGCAGGGCACGTTCGATTCCTGATCGAGGATCGATCAACTGCTCCTGGTTAGGCCTGATAAATATATAAAATTCACACACGAAATTTCCATCCACAAAAACCCTTCTGAAAATAAGCGTTGCATGTACAGGCATTGAAAAAATACGTGAAAATTGCAAAGGTTCTGGATTTTAGAATGCACTGTACATACTGTACGGAGTCAGAATCTGATAAGATCTATAAAAGGCAGTTTTCTAAATCCAGTCCGATACAACTGCATGGTGGCGCAAATTTTTTAATCCTATCCAATTCAAAGTTATTCATTCTTCCAAATCCAAATAAAATCCAGTTGGATTGGACTTGTATTTTCACAGCTCTATATAAGAACTGGTATTTTAAAAGATATCGAGCCAACAAGGATTGGATGCTGTTTATTGGTTGCTATCTCTAATCTGTACTGCTGATGGTTGATTTATTGATTATATGTTGAACCAATTAATACCCAGGGGTGGAAAAAATAGGCGAGCACGCAAGCCAATGTTGACAAGCTGCAGGAAATTCGTTTGAATGAAGATTTGTTATTGAAAATTTAAAGGAAACTTTAATAGTTTAAGTTTAAGTTTAATACGAATATTTATACAGGATAATACACTTCAACTAAAAAAGCTGTTATCAATGTGTGTCCTGTTATCCTAAAAAGTCTAGAAAGAACTAACTATTAAAAACTCTAAAAAACTCTAAAAACTATATGTACATTAAGAACTAATTCTTATATACCATATTTAAAACCGTTTATAATTCATTAAAATGTTCCGTAACCTTATTCTCAAAATCCGGATTGTTCTCAATCTTTCTTAATTCCATAGGTAGGTCGTTATAAATCTTAGCTCCCATAAAATAGAAAGATTTACGAACATACTCAGTTTTAATCGCTGGTAGCTTTATCATATTGTTATTGTTTCTTGTTTCTCTGCCATGTTGCTGCATTGTGAAGTAAGTTTTAAAAATATCACAAATGTCATTATCAATGCATTTGCGCACCAGTTTGCATGCTCTTAATTTGTTGGCATTTACAGCAGATATAAGATGTTGTTCACCCGCCTGTTCCCCTTTGAACACAGTGGACACAGAACGGTCGTGGAATGATAGAAGTCTGGCCAGCTGCGTTCGACCTAGGTTTAATTGCAGTACGCCACAATACGTAAGTATGGGCATGATCATCGTGCGATAAATGGCTTTGGCCAAAGGTAAATCGAGAAGATCTCTTATCTTAAACAAGAGCCTCAACCGCCCTGATGCTTTCTTGAGACTTTTTTCAAACTGAGAACTCAAACTCAGTGATCCGTCCACATGCACGCCAAGATATTTATAATCAGATGTATTCGTTATTGTAGTCCGCGTTATTGCATGCTTCTTCGTTTGGCAGTTCCAAATAGAAGGGATTCCGTTTTGCCCTTCTTTAGGTTGATTATCAGTTCGTTTTCTTTCAACCAGCCAGCAATCGAATCCATGTCTTTATCTAATTTTGCTTGAATTGATTGGGTCTGCTTGTCTGCAACGTACAAAACAGTGTCGTCAGCATAGTTAATGACTTTGGAATGGTTTACCACATCTGTTATATCATTGAAGAAAACCAAGAACAGCAATGGTCCCAATATCGATCCCTGCGGAACACCAGAATAGATTTCGTGTACCTCAGATAAGCAGTTATTGTAGCTTACTACCGCTTTACGGGAGAAAAGGCAGTCTTTAAACCATTCAAGCTCACCGTCATTTATTCCATATCGAGAAAGTTTATCTAATAGCTTTGCATGGCTGATTGTGTCAAAAGCCTTACTCAAGTCAATAAATACGGCACCAACTAGTTTCCCCGAATCAACTTCTCTACGTATATCATCCAATAATAAGGTTGTTGCAAGCTCAGTCGAAAGGCCACGGCGGAAGCCAAACTGAAACTCAGACAAGAGAGAATTTTTGTCCAAAAATGACATTAGTTAACGGTGGACTATCTTTTCAATGATTTTAGACAGGACCGGTAGTATCGATATTGGTCGTATTGAATACCCATGTCCCATTATGGGTGCAACAACATATGGTTGACAGCTTAAATTCAAAGCCATGGTCAGCTAGAACACTATATTATGTTTATGCACATGCAGATTTGGCACAAAAATACTCTGTTGGTCTGCAGGAAATTTTTGTCTCCAGGTTGTGCTCCCAGGAAGAAAATTATTTTTTCCTGCCCTGTTTAAATACCATAAATGGATGATCAGTGTAGATGAAATTGGCAAAGAAATTGTGATTATAAAAATTGTCTGTGTATAAACACAGCAAACAGATGCATCATCCGTCAAGACAAACTATACATCTGCGTAGTTATGTGTGCACAGCTTTTTGCACCTAGTACGCCGTCTTTATCTATGGCAGGTCTGTGTGCATAAATACAGCAATAGCCATTCTCTCTAAGATAGACCACAGTAACTTACTGTAGAATGCTACCCACACTGGTCCTACATTTGAGATACCTTTTTCAGCCAGTTCAAATACAAACAATGGCAGCTTATTGTGGACCACCATGTTTAAGATATAACCATTATAACAATTATAGCTAAGTATTGCAGAATACTGTCATACTGTCATACTGTCGCTCAGGGTTTGGTGTAGTATGGGCGTTCAAAGTGGACACAATTACATGTTTAATTAAGAAGAACAGTTGCAAATATGATGAAAGTTGGCAAAACAATGTCAAACGCTCACAAGTAAAAATCAAAACATGCACCAATAAATCAAACTCCTGTGTGACCAAGTCCAAGTGACACAAAAACAAATCCATCTGTCACCTTCCTGAGCACAGTTGCAGGTACATGTAAAGCATTTTTTGTGAAAACAGAGGGAGCCAGACAGGTCCAGCTCTTCAAAGTACAGCAAGGTTGCTTTTAGCACGGCTGAGCAGAATTTCCCTCTCAATACGTCACAGAAGATAGAATTCAAGAACGGCATGGTTAAGTTAAAGTTTAATGAAATTCAATGTCAAAAACCACATCTTAATTGTATCGGTGAGGGGATATAAAGATTCAAACATGCACATGTATCAGCAGTGATACATTAAGAGAGGCCCTGTTAGGGTGGCTATACATGCTGTTTTGTCTGACTTTGAGACAAGTTATGTCACCGCTTGAAAACATTGAGCACTATGTCGCCAAATTTTGTTATTGTTTTCCTCCCCTTTATGTCGTTATTTAGATTGTGTCCAATGTCACTATTTTATTTCCTATATGTCGCCATTTCAAGGCATTGTCGCCTGTTGGAATTTACCCGAAAAGGGACTCTTAAGAGGGATTGTACCATCATTGTACAATCATGAATGGCAGCATGTAAATATTATATACCATGCTCACAGAATCTGGCAGAACTACTGTACTTGTGTTACAAACAATTGTTTTCAGTCTCAACAACATAGTTGTGTCTGAAATATGGCAATGCAGACAATTTCAACCTCATTCAGCTAAATGTGTTAAAAAATGCAAGTCGTTGAAAAAATGTGAGAATTTTTTACAAATTGGTTAATTTGTAAAAAAATTCTCACATTTGTTTTACATTGTCCACAACTGTTGCAATTATAGATAGCAATATGGAATGTCAGATCTCAACTTCAAATGACTAATTTTGAGTTTTTAAATTAGATATCTATATAACTATGCCACTATACCATTTCAAGCAAATTGTCCACACGTAACATGCATCTTTATGTCTATTGTAAATAATCCAACAAATTATCAGAAACGTTTTATAGCTTGTGTTGGCAGCATAAAGACAACATGCATTTTGCTTCTAGATGAACTATCATCAAATGCGCATCTCTTGAGAAAGATTAGCTAACATGTATAGTTGGTCTAGATGCAACAATAATGCGATTTGTGCCCATCTTTATACTGAACATGCATAAAACGGACAAACTAAAAATGCTTGCCCAAATGAATTGCCCACATTTGGTTTATATTTGCATAATCAGGTAGAACATTCTCTAGAGATTCCCCAACAAAAGATTGAATTCTGTCTTCCATGATTGTAATGAGAGACTGTTTACTTGTTATCAAACTTGTTATAACTTATACAAAACAAAAATGATGTTAAACAGACAACCAGAGCAAGACAGTGATATATACTAGTACTACGAAGCGGAAATCAAATTTTGACATTCATTTTGAAAAATCTCTCAAACGTGTAATCGTCTAAAACTAAAGTTTAAAAATATTATTACTTACCGAGATCATTTCCGACGCATTACCAAAATAATCTTAAGTTTCTCACATCAACATTTCACAACTCGAATATTTCCGACATTTTGTTATTGTGATGTTACGCAATGCATTTTGGGATTCTGAGTGCTCGGTGTTGCCTTGCTAATTGCCTTTGTGTGGAGCTAATAGCCTGGAACGACCAGCTTATAATATTGTGACACACTTTAATATTTTTCTAGAAAGAAAATATAATTTCTTACCTTTTAAGATGAACTTTGAACAGATGTGCTGGCTGAGGTGAGGTGATGATGATGATGTGCTGCCGGCTGAGGTGCTAGCTTATGTTTATTAATCTGTTGCGTAATGTTAGCATTTTTGCAATGTTTGGTTTACATGCCTGTATCACATGATATGACGTACCTGTATCACATGAGATGACTCCGCAAGTGGCTAACTCTTTTGAGCGCCACCTGACTCATGCCAAGAGCCAAACCAATAAAGGCCCCCGACTCGTACCACAGTGCTCGTACCCGCGCACTTAAAATTTGGTTCAAAAGCTTAATTTTTTTCTTAGCAGTTTAGTTATTATAGTTTGACCCCCTCAACTTTTTTCTTCGTATTTAAAAGTGTTTTTCCAAAAAATGCATTTTTCTGGATGGATGTAAATAATATAAAGATAAAAATATGCATAGTAATCGTTGTGACAGTTTGTTTTGGTTGCTATGGGAGGGATTCTGCCCACAAAATGTATTATTTTACCCCGCAAGCTTCAGTTACTAAGCTACGAGTTTACACGCTGCGATCAGTGAACTCCAGAGAGTGAACTCCATGTCTATTATATAATAACTACAGTGAGACACGCAATTTGATTGGTCAATAGCCGTGAAGGATCAGGCTATCTTGCACGAAGAATTAACTGAATGCCTTCGCGGGCAGCCTCATCCCCGCCGGCGCTTTGATGTTGCGTCTCGATTCCCGCGCGTGCGTCACGCAACCAGTAAGCACAGTCAAAGCGCCAGGGACGAGGCTGCTTCGCCGGGTTGTTAAAATGTCATTGTTCCACTGTAGTTATTCAGTTTATAAAACAATTTCCGAAATGGTTTTCCAAGCAGGATAGCGTGACCCATGCACTAGGGATGTTTCTCGACTTTCGGAACACATAAAAATACACTCGCCTGCGGCTCGGGTATTTTTACGCTATACTGATCCGAAAGTCTCTCGACATCCCTCGTGCATGGGTCACGCAATCCTGCACGGAAAACCATTCGGTATTCCTTTATTACAAGGACCATCAATGAGACCAGTTTGGAACGCGGATTCCACGGCTTGTGGGGAAGACGGAGACGAATTCAAGAGACCAGAAGGGGCCCTTTTTGGCATGTACTAAAACCTGAAACAACCGGAACGGAACAACCGGAACGAAAGCACCAGAACAACCGGAACGACCGGAACGGCAAATCGGAATTCCACTCCTTCACCTCCCCTCCCTTTATAATATTACTAAGCACTTGTTACCACGTGACTTGTATTTCCCGTGCGATTTTAAGAATTTGCATTATCGTTACAGCAAGCGTGGAAGACATGGAAAAACTAAACGAAACAAAGCTATTTTCTTTTCAAATTTGCATGAAAACAGTACAATTTGTTTATTAAATTCAATCAGGTGAAAACTAGGCCGTATAATTGTTTTGTATATTCTAAAGGCGAGGGACATATTAAGAAAATTAGAGAAGAGAAAGCGAGATGTGTACAGTGTGATTTTCTCATGCTCACTAAAATCCATGAAGTCGGTAGCCAATTTCAGATGTTTAATTTAGATGTAATGTCTGTATGAGACCTAAATAACTATCGTTCCGTTTTCTTGTTCTACTACTTTGTTCCGATCATGTTCGATTTTGGTTTCGGTGGTTCCGGTCATTCCGGTGGTTTCGTTCCGGTTGTTTCGAGTTTTAGTACATGCCTCCTTTTTTGGACTGAGGAAATGGCGTTAACGTTACTAAGAATATGACAAACACAAAAATGGGAAAACCATAATAATACCAGCCCGTAGCTGGCTCTCAATTTCTGGGGGGGCAGTGCAGAAAGAATGTAACAGAGGGTTTGAGAAAAAAATTTTCCCGGAATTTAGTTTGGCGACCTCCCCTCTCTTCCCCCCCCTCCCCGTCGCCAAAAAAATTTCGGTCAGTGTACCATTTTAGGGGTCAAACCGAGTGGGGGGATGCCCCCCCCCCAGCCCCCCCCCCCTCAGCTACGGGCCTGTAATAATATCAGATAATTATATCATTAATCAGTAACTATTGATTGAAAATTATTTCATTGAATATACATGGCGTGCTTGGCCGTAAGTTTATTGCATACATTAAAGTACATTTCATTGCAGAAAGTGAAAGGTTTTGATAGAATCGTTGCAACAATTGTGGACAACGCGCGCGCAAATAAAAATACTAGCCTCCTCCGCAGGCATCTCGTTGTACTTACCTATGAAAATACATGCTGCAAGCTTTTTTAAATATTTATTACTGAATATTTGAATCATGTACGTTTTTTACAGATTTTTATATTCTGTATATACCCTTATTAGGATAGCATAGTTTATAGTATATATATATGTACTGTAACTTTTTGTAGAACAATTTTTAATTAACCTAACGACAGGACCCTAGTTGATAACAGGGAATTTTTACTGAATAGGCATTCCTGTATAAATATTAAATATTAATTTATTATTATGATGCTTTGCCCTATCACATTCTTGCCGAATACATCATTTGGCATTTAGCTGCCCCCCCCCCCCATCACCGCTCCCTCTTTCAATGTTGAAAGGTTAAAACATTAGATAAGGTTACATTATCAAAGTCAACATTGATGGGCTGGGTGGATGGGGGGATCCAAACATGGCAACATGTGCATATGAACATTGATAGTTTAATAGTCTTTTAGTCCACTAATTGCCCACATAATGTTTGTCATGATTGTAGTTCGAGAGAGAGGCAGGGGCGTGCTGGCTAGAGACGAGCCGACGAGAACCTGTTGTAGGCCCCTGCCATCTTCGGCCCCTAAAATTAAAACATTGGCAAAGATAAAAAAACTATAGATTTTAATTTTGAAAATCAAGATTAAGATATTACAATTTATATTTTAGAAATCTAAATTTACGAAACTGTTACCGAAAAATTTAACAAACTATGTTACATTAAATCAAAAGTTGCCGAAAAATGGTATGTGCGGAAATCTTTTCACGCCCCCTCCCCCTCTCGCCAACAATTTTTGGGGGAAAAATTAATTGGCGACTGAAATGTTTCATGTTTGATCACTAACACCCTCCTCCCCACCCCTCCCCAGTCTTGATCCGTCCGTCACTGGGTCCCATCAGACGTTGCTCATTCGTCGTCCTGTTCAAGAGCCCAGCACGTCCCTGAAGAGAGGGAATGAAAGAATAATAATTGTGTTCTCAAGTCTTCTTTCAATTCACATTTGGGCCTGAGATTTCGAGAAAGAAACAGACTGGGAAATGGCATTAGACACACACGCACCCTCACGACCCTCGTGAACTCCCATGCCACGTGAATCCCATTTGATTGATTTCAACTGCAAACGAATGGAACCATATAATCCGAATTTATCCAGTATCAGGGCGGTCTCGAGGGGTGGTGGGAGTATAGGGTGTGACACTCCCTCTCCTGAAAACATCTTGTTGGCAAGACAATGGATTTGTCGCCAAATTGTTTTCGTTGTCAGCAAACATATTTTAGTGGCACTGATTAAAAAGTAATAGTTATAGCAAAAACGTAGACAGACTTAGGAAAACATTAACGAAACATTTAACGAACTCGAAAGTTAATGAAAAATGAACTGTCTGGAAAATATCATTTTACGGCCCCCCCAACAATTTTGGGAAAGGAAATATTAATTAGCGTACTGCATGACTGAATGTTGTCGTCGCAAATACGATATTAGGGAGCTTTAGATTTGACTACGAGTACGACTACGACTACAACATTTGATCGCATGCGAGGAAATAACCGTAGTCGTTTTCGTTTCCATTCAAATGTTACTTTTATAACAGTAAACCAACAACGAGAGAAGAAGTTTCATAAACTAAATCTCCTGCAGACCAAAATCCCCTACAAAACGTGTAAATAAGTCATAACATTAAAAACAGGCCAGATATTTAGTACTAATATATTATTTGCGCCGGATAAACGCTATATAAATGCTACAAATTATTTTTGGAAAACCAAAAAAGCCAACTTTCTTTGTTTGTTTTTTTAAAGTTCTCGTAAGGACTACGAGATTTCCCCACGGTTTCGTACTCAGATGGGCGACGGCTACGACTTTTTCGCGTCAGTACGGAATGGCGTAAGCATACAGCATGCGTTTAGCTTGACGAATCTCGTACTCGTAGTCGTACTCGTAGTCAAATCTTCCGGTCAACGTTCGTGTTGTCAAAAACGTCACTTGCTTAAGCTCGCTGATTAGGAAGCTTTAGCAGCGACTATACGAGTACGAGATTTGATCCGAAAGTCGTAGTTGTTTTCGTTTCCGTTCAAATGTTGCTTTTATAGCAGTAACTGAAACAACGAGAGAACAAGTTTCTATAAACTAAATCTCATGCAGGCAGGGCGTGGGAACCGGGTGGCAGGCCCCACTCCAAGTTTTCAAAAGTGCCCTTTTTCCGGGAGCAAAGTGCCCTTTACCTCCGTGAAAAATGTCGTTCAGATCGCATTTCTTGCCCAAAGGCCTATGATTTAAGATTGCATTTGTTTTTGTATTTTGGTATGTCCTGAAAAATTTTGTTATTTTGGCGTAAAATTATGTTATGACCGGAAAATTGTTTTCATTTTCGGGAAAAAATATGGTATTTCCGGAAAAAGTTTTTGGTATGTCCGGAAAATTTTTTCATTTTCGGGAAAAAATGATATCTCCCGAAAATTTTTGGTACTTCCGGAAAAGTTTTTGAGATGACCTTCCCCCTCCCCCTCCCCCCCGTCGCCAACATTTCTGGGAAAAAAATTTTAGGTGGCTTTTTTCATTCGAAAAGTGTCCCCCAAAGCCTGTCTCCCCCCCAACTTTTAGATGCTTCCTACGCCCCTGTATACAGGCCAAAATCACCTACAA